ATGGAATCACAATGCCTGTATGCAAACAAATCTACTTGTACTCTCTGCAATGTTGTTTCTGATACCGAATATAACGGATCACGTTGATTTTTGCGTTTGAACTTTTTGCATGTTGCACATCTCAAACATATTTTCTTTCCTACAGAACTTACGACACGCGAGATTTTCTTTTTGCAATGACTATATGACCCTCATGTAAAAATTTGAGCACTTCTTTTCTGAGTGTCTCCGGGATAGATAACAATTTTTCCCCATAAACATAATATCATTTATTTCCGCTATGACTGTCCTGAAATTTTTATAATGTATACCTCGAGGGACATTTAAATATGATACGGACACCCTTCTTTAACTGTTTTTATCAAAATGAGATGTTCATTATTTTGCGTTTTCTTTTTTTCTGAAATTGCAATTTGATGAGAAGGTACTAAAATAGCGCAAACTGATTATCGCATTCTCTCTTAATAGTCATTTATTGGGATACCATAGAAATATTGGAATATGGCTGACCCAAGACCTCTACGGGTACAGTATTTCCTTCCAGCAGGGTACTTGTTTAGCATTAGAAATAGAAAAAAAAAAAGAAAGAAATCACAAGAGGCAGGATCTTGTGAATACGAGGGAGGGGTGAGGAAGCTCAACAAAATTTTTCCTGCTTAAGAAAGTTACGTACAATGGCCGCCTTGTGGCAAAAAGTATTGTCGTGCAACAGCCTGACATCACACAAACCCGTCGCTGAACTTCGTTTGTTGAAGAATATTTCCTCTGTAAGCCTATCTGTTAAACTTGCCATTGATAGACTGTATCCTATGTTTAGCAATTTCAATAGCAGGACCTTGATGTGTAAAGAAGATGACATAAATGATATTTTGGACTTCATGGTTGCTTTTCTTTTTTTTTAAAAAATTTTGCCCTTTGGGTGATTAAATTTCCCTTTTTCCCCACTTTCCTAAAACCCTTTTACCGTAAAATGTATTTCAAAAATGACTTTCCCGGAAAAAAACGGAAAAGTTAAATTAAGGCCATTTTATTTTCCTTTTAAAAAGGGTACAGGGAATTTTTGTGTGAAACTCCTGCAAAAAATAGACCTGCCCCTAATTGCATTCTTTCCGGAATTTCCCTTTTAAACCCCCAAATTTTCTGACTGAGGGGAAATTGGAAAAAATTTTTTTTTTTTCTTTTTTACAGCTTAAATATTTTTTTTTTTTTTTTCTTAATACGGGTTAAAATAAAATTGTTAAAAAAAGTTGCGCTCTTTGTCGCCCTTTTTAGAGTAAGCAATTAAACTTCCCCTTTCCCTTTTTTTGAAACCCCTATGTTTTCCCAAATTCCCTTTAATTTTAAAATTTCTTGGAATTTTGGGGCCCTTTCCCTCTTGTTCCGTGTTTCCTAAAAGGCAAATTTTAAAAGTACGAGAAAAGAACTTTTGGGCGTCACCCCCTACTTTGGGCGTTAAAAATTGGAAAAACCCCCTTTTCCACTTAGCCCTGCTGTTCTAATTTTTAAACCCAGGAATATTGAAAAAAAGTCGTTTTTTTTCGAAATTTTTAATTTCCGTGGTCAAGCACCCGTAATGATGCCCCTCTTTATTCCCTGGGGGAATAAAATATTTCCCTTTAAATTTTAGCTTCTGTTTAAAATGTTTCATTTAAATTTAATTGGGAAACCCCCTCTTTTAAATTTTCTTTCAAATTTCGGTTTGTCCGTAAAAAACGGGTTTTGCGGGTTGTTTAAATTCACGGAAATCTTCTTTTGGTTTTTTTTAGGACTGAAATTTGTTAAGGGTTTCCCGATTGGGTAAGTGTCCTTTAAACAAGGGTGTTTTACTTATCAGCTTTGGATTTTTTCAATTTTTTCTGAAAAGACTGGATTGGAAATAAGTTTGTCTCTCGTGGTCTGTATCTAATTTAAACTAAATTGTAAATTTGTCAACATTGACTTGCGCAAACCAATCTTTCTTCAATGATCTTAGGTCTACACATCTTAGCGAATGTAATTAATTTAGCTTTGCATTTTTTCTGTACAGACGGAATGGAATTATGCTCGCATCTGTGCCTGTATCTTATTTAAATTCAATAACAAGTGTGTCAACATTGCCGTGCGCTCACCTGATGAAATCTGCCAGCAAAGACCTATACATCTTAGCAAAACTGGTTGTGACATAAATTTCACCATATGTTGTATGCTGGACAATAATTTATCATATTTTTTAACCATTTTTTTTAAACTCATTGGTACAGTCAATTTCCCCGATTTATGTTAAATGTAAATGCGGTGGTCCCCCGAATTTGGGTTTTGATGGATTTTTTGAGACTTTCCCTTAAAGGGCGGGTCCAAAATTTCCTTTTGCCTATTCGAAAACTGTCCCCCTTTATTTTGGGTTTTTTTTCTTTTTTTAAAAATTTCCCTTATCCCGATTCCAACTGGATTTCGCCCGCCCCTGCACAAATTTTATCGACGGGTAATTTTTGGTTTTTTTCTAGTAAAAAGTTTTTCCCCTTAGTCCCTTTATCAATCAAATTCCCAAAAATTTTAAAAATTTGATCTCAATCATACCGTATCTTTGATCACCAAAAACGCAAAATTTTTAGAAATTTTTTCTAGTTCTAAAATCGTGATAAAGCATTCATTTAAGTTTTAAAATTCATTCCAAAGGGGTTTACTGTTTGGGTTATGTCCCCAAAAAACGTTCTTTTCTGGCAATTTTTTTTGGTACCTTTAAACGAAAATTTTGCCAAAACCCTTTTCTAAGCCCTGTTTGTCGTCATTTTCCCCAGGCAAAATTTTCTTAAAGGCCCTCTCTTCGGTACATGTCAAAAAGCCCGCAACCCTTTACTTTTAAATTTTTTCCCCCACCGTATAAAAACTTTGTTCCACATTTTTAATGTTGTTTAAAACTTTGGGGTTTTATGAGAAAACTTTTTTTCTTTTTGGTTTAAAAAACCCCTTTCCCGAAAACCCTTTTTTTAAAACCCCAAATTGTCCTTCTTGTTTAAATTTTTCCTTAATTGAAAATCAAAAACGGGTTTTTAACAGTTAAAATCTGAAATTGCGATAAAAATGTGGGTTTTTTGAATCTAATAGTTTAAATTAATTATAGAAGACTTACAATGGTATGAGAGGGAAACAAGGTTTTAATTGCTATATTCCCATAATTTAAGAAATTTACATTTAAATAGAATAAAGGTGGAGTCAAATCAACACCGCAGATACATATCATTAAATTCGGTCATCTTTTAGGTACTTTTGTTGGCGGTTGCAGGATTAAAAAAGTTAAAATAGGCTGATAATTATTCCAGTTTACGGGGGAGGTTCTTAAGTCCTTTGAACTTAATGAACTAAGCTCTGATACATTTCAATGGTTTAATAAGTTTAACGCTAAAAAGTTTAATCGGGGCTTATTTTTACCTAATTGGAATAGTATTTACTTATGGGTTTGATACGCTGTTTTGACTTTTATTAACAAAGTATCTTTAACAATATTTTTCAAATTACAGGAACTTATACTTTTCTGCACGGTTTACTGATGCACTATTTTGTTCTCGTGAAAAATCAAAGGGCTGCAAGCTCTGTGATATTTTCTGATCTTTGCAATCTAAATCGTACTGTATGTATTTTCCTGTATAAGTTTATTTTTATGTACTATAATTCATCTTGCAGGGCACCAGAGTTTGATACATACGGAATTTTGCATAACTAGAGTTGCATAAAAAATCATTTATGTTCATTTTTTATGACAACCACACTTTGTCCTTGCACATCGTGGCTACTTCCTTAACAAAGGCACTTAAAAAATAGTTGCCTCGACTGGGATTTGAACCCCAGACCTCTCACAGATTAAACGAGCATCCCTGCACCACGGAGAAGTTATACGAACAAAACCTGAATAAAATCAAGTAATTCTAAATTTAGAATTTCCATTGCATTTCGGGTTTGTCATCGTTATTAATTTCGAGGTATTTTGTTCACGATAAATCAGTTGTTTAAAATCTGATCTGTAAACATAACTTTATAGCGAAAATCCTTCTCGCCAAAAAGTTGACATGTAGAATCTATATTGACAGTCTCAGATTATTTGTGTAGAATTCGATATGACATACCTAACAGAATAGCATTCTATTAATCTGATTTAAAATCACTATTTATCGACGACGTTAATTTGTGATTGTGCATTTATTGATCAATTCTTACTAGGCCCATCCGCACTTCTTAACAACTTCGAATGCGTTTATTTGTCTGAGATACTTGCTAACAAATTAAAAACTATGTTCTTTCTTTTTAAATCGCTAGTTTTTAAGCTGTTTTGGCGAACTACCCGTCAACTTGTTGTAGGTTGTCGTTAAACGCTGTGTTCAGGACTTGAATGTCATTTGTATTTCCCCTGATTTCGCATCAAAGCAAGATACTTAACGCGTACTTCATTCTGGCCTTATGCATAGTACCAGCTACCAGCTCTTACGCTTTTCCTTATTGTTTATCTTATTTATTAATAACAATACCAAAAACAACAATATTTCGCCAAACTTAGGTGGCAGAGCCACGTTAACATGGAAACGAACTAGCATTTTGGTCAATTTCAAGTTTTTCATCATTTTTTTTTACCCCCTTCATATAGACGTGATTTCCGACGGATTCTCGATCCCACCTCCCCCTTGTTTTAGCGCCCAAAGTGAAAAATGCCCATTACGGCCCAAACACTGTTTTTTTGTTTGGGAAAATGTCTGATACAAAACAAACGTAACTACTTTCTTTCGGCTGACCGCCATCGAACGGGTACATCAGAAAATGTTTCATGAAGGTGAACGCTAGGGTCGATCGTAACCAGTAACGTGTACAACCAACGACTGAAAAGTATTTTACCTCTTTGCCTTCAATCTGCTTTAGAAGTATGCAAGCACTTATGAAGACTCAGTTTTGATGGAAAAAACAATGCAAAATAGTGATTTTTGACAAATTTGATACGTCCCCCCGTTGCCATGGTAATGTTACGTCCCTATTGACATATGTGAGTAAATAAATCAGATATAACAATCATTATATATTTAAACCTGTCTTAATTACAATTTGGCGCAAAAAGATAACATTGGTTATATCGAAAAAGGAACTTTTTTCACTATCTGCTGATTCTGTTTACAAGTTACTTATTACTTTGTATGTTCTACTTATAAGTTTTTAAGATAAGATTTTTATATACCGGTAGCATTACATAATGAGTGTTAATAACTTTCATTTATAAGTGCACCAGAGAAGGTGTTCCAGACTGATGTCGGTCTAACCCAAACGTTATTTCCATCTGAAGAAGATGAACTTTTCACCCAAACATTACCTCCTCGTTTGAGAATAGCAAGTCCGCTTACAGAACTGCAAGCATTGTGTGTCGCACCCTCGTCTATCAAACGTGTTTTCATTATAACATCATTTTCGGAAACAATGGCGACGTAGACATATTGGTCTTGAAGTAGACATAATCTTACGCTGAATTGATACAGCCCGCTCACTGGCGCAGTGAACACCCCTGTTCCGTTATTATAGCCAGAACCCAGGTTGTTAAGTGTTGTTGGAAATATTATCGTTTGTCCATTGGTTAGATACGAGGATTTCATGCCGCGTGCAGCAAAGAATACAATAGGTACTCGATAAGTGGATTCTGAAAAGGAAATATTTAAAAGGAAAACATCCACGCACTTGCTTTATAAACGATGTCTTTTTTTTTTTACTTTAATCTTTAAGTACGAGTCCTGTTATAAACGAATAAATATGATTATGATAAAAAATCGTGAGTTAAAAGAATGCAAGTCAAGTGTTTTTAATATCTTATAAATAGGTGTTCGATAAACAGAAGACAATTGGCATTGCGCAGTACCTAAACAAACAAGCGACATGAATTATTGCATAAAACTAGGATTTCTGGCGATAACAATACTTGTAGTTTTATAGCTTCATAAAAGCCATAATTATACAAAAACAACAACAAAGCAATAAAAACTGTTTCCTCTCGTCATAATTGTAATATAAAAAGTACTGGTTATCAATTCTAAAAAAGACAGTAATAACACTGTATTCTCTCTATTATCTAATTATATTTTACTAAGGATTTTGAATAACCAAGTACGACGTGAAGTTGCTAACAGACAGACGGATGGACCACCACGGCCATAACATTATAGTGACAATACATTCCTAATCATTTTGTTCACAAAAATAGATTTGCAAAGTGGCTATAGAAAAAAAATCTGTGATTATATCACCGGTTTTCATACAAAGGAAAACATGATGAAATATCTCAAAAGGCCGATAATGTGCGCATTTGTGTCAATACTTCTGCGACAGTTTGGTTCAAACCCCATTGAGAAATGTAGAAGTAACATACAGATAAAATTGTTTACGCCCTAAAGACCAGCAAAACGTTGTTGATCAGGATTAATTTTTTGTTGGTTTGGTTTTATGTAGCACCAACACTATAAATGTCATATGTCGACTTTCCAGCTTTACAATTTTATCTTTGATTTTATTTTGGTTGGGTTGAAAGTCGCACCAATACTTTAATGTTCATATGGCGACTTTCCAGCATTACCGGTGGAGGTCATGTGCCAAAGGTGCATAATTTTGCCCTCAGCCGTGAGTGGCAATTGGGTTGAAGTCGACGACCTTAACTGCACGGACGCCAAACTATTTAAATGGAACGAACGGCACCTGTGAAAAAAAACACCGACATAACGTGAGTAAGCTGGAAAGCAATCAAACTTGCTTGCGACATTCAAAAAGTGGATTGAAGTCAACACACACAATATAAAATTATATGTAGTAATGATGTAGCAAAAAAGTACCTTGTACAGACTGAATCTTTTGTTGCAAATCTGCATTTTCCAGTTTGAGTTTGTCAAGTTCATTCTTTTGATTTGCCTGATCTTCTTTCAAATCCTCGAGACTTTTCTGTACATCTTGCTTACGATATTCCAAAACGGATACCACGTGCTCCTCTGTTTTTCTGATCTCTTGTAACATTGCCTCAACCTTAACTTGCGTTCTTATCATTTCTTCAAGCAACTGTTTTTCTTTAGAAACCTGACATGTTTCAGACCCGCCGTCAGCTCTAGATGGTGACAGAAATGCCAAGAAACTAAGAAATACTACCAAATCAACGCAAAGAATTGCCCTTACCATCATCAACTTTCCAAAGACGTAAAGCTGAGGTGTGATCCAGTAGAAGGCGTTTGAAATATTCAATAAGGAAGTAAAGACGGAAGATAAAGAGGAATGTTTTGTAACAAAACAAATCCTCAAAGTTATTTGTTTCTTTTCATTGCCATAGAGATTTTAAACTTGTGTAACATGAATCTTTTTATTTATATCTTTATCAGTCTTTAAAATCATGTTTTGCTTTAAAACGTATAATTTAAACAATCAAAAGTATACCTGCTAAGCTGGTACATTATTTCAAGATACATGTACTGTAATACATGATAATTCGCATTGCACTGAGTGTTAATTCACTAAAAGCTATTGCCTGTATGTCCGCGCGTCTGTCTTACAGCCCCCTCATCTCTGGCGTGGATCTCGGGGACTAGTTATTACATTCAGAGGCAGTCTTCATTGAGACCCATTTAGAATAATCGAATCTTCGGTTGTTGTTCTCAGTTATATGGCGTATCTATGAGGCACCTAGTAAAAAGTTTTTTCAACCTATATGTGAGACCTACAGATTGCATATTTAATTATAATTGAAACACCGCGCTCACCAGTTAACCATATTAACAAGCAATTATCATAGTATTGCAAGCAATCCATTAGTCCCCTACCGGTTAGAACCCCAGCAACATTCTGAAAGGCCATTGGCCGTTCACTTATGTTTCAATTTTTCTCTATTTTAAGTAAATTTGTTGGAAAAGTTCTTTAAAAGTGATCACAGGAAATAGTTTTTATGAACAGAAAGACAGACGGACTGAAGGACACTCTAAAGTTATTTTTTTAAACATCCCTGTTACCAAAATATAACATTTTTAAAAGCAAAATTCTTAAAGAGAAGATAACTCTTGAAATAAAGATGCAAGACGTCATACATGATGTGATTGTTAACAAAAAACAATTAGTATAATGAATGTTTATTTTGAATTTGAAGTAAAAGAAAGTTAAAAGAATGAATAAGAAAAATTCAAAGTTTAAGGAGAAGATAATTCTGGAAATATGGATTCTAGATTTATAAACCTTGTCATATTATTATGATGTGGGAGTATGAAGTAAATCCTATATGTAATGAAGAAGTTGGAGTAAAATATACCAATTTCTCGAAAAAAAATCTTAAGTTCAAGGGGGACATAATTCTGGAAATAGTCTTGCTAGAGTATTGAACCTTCTCACAAATGATTTGAGTGATAATAAGAAACATAATACATGTATATGAAGTTTGAAGAAGATACATTAAGAAATAAAGAAGTTATTAAAAAAAAATTTTTTTCATGAAAATTCTAATTTCGAGGGAGGCAATTCTGATAATTTTTCTGCTAGAGTTGTAAACCTTGTCGCATATGATGTGGTTGATGACCAGAAACAAAATAGGAAGAAAAGAAAAAGACATGCATAATCTCCAGACTGCCATCTACCCATATTTCAAGTTTCATAAAAAATATTTTCAGTACTTTTTGCATTATCACTACATCCAGCTTATGTGTTAAATTTGCCATATTTTCAGTCTATTTGTTGTCATAGCAACCAAAATTTTCAACATAAGAAGAAAAGAAAATGACGTGCATAATCTCCATACTGCCATCTATCCATATATCAAGTTTCATAAAAATATTTTCAGTGTTTTTTTGCGTTATCGCGGGATCGAGTTTTGTGTACGGACAGACTGACAGTAAACTTAAAGTGCCCTCCGGTAAACCAGTAGAGGACTAATAAAGGTTTTCCTTCTATATTTCTTTTATTTTCATTAACGTAATATATATCCAAAGCAACACCTTAAAAACATGTAAAAAAGAACAAATAAAACTGCAGTTTATGTTGAATAAAGTTTATTTCATTAATAACATCAGTCAACAATATATGTTTCAAGAAAACAATCACCAAAATATAAAATAGGTTTAAATGAAAAAAGAGAATCTTGGAATTTGTATTTGACTAGTGTAGATTTTGCTCTGCCATTTTTACATGACTCATGAAAGCTTAATGTGAAATTCATGAGAGCAAAATACAAATCATATATCATATACATGTATAACTCTAACAATGAGCCTTTCAATATACGTGTATACCACTTCCTTTTAAACTCTTTATTACTATATTACATCAACAAAAGCATTTCATTTCAAACAACCTACTACCTGTAGTACATTACAAATTTAATATTCTTTTCCTTGTGATTTTCTTTTCATTAGGTCATGTCATATGTGAAAACATATAAATATGTTAAAACGTGTACATGTATATAAAATAATTTAAAATGTCTTGAGTTTTATTGCAATGTACATTTACTCACTTTATGGCATGGTAAAACAAAGCATTTTACTCAATTCAAGTAGATCCTTTTATCCTTGTTTACCTAACGAACAAGTTTTTTTCTGAATGTACTTGTATCATTGTTTATCTAACTAACAAGTCAATACTGGACAATCATTTTTATAGTCTTTTCAACAACTTATTCATTTCCATTCTTTCTACCAAATTCGGGAAAGTATTGCATCCTCTCTAAACACAAGTTATTTCCCTTCATCACACAAACTTTCAAACTGTGTCAATTCAATAGCGTTCTTTCAATTTTTACAGTGGTAAATGTCCATTAGAAATTGCAAAATCAAATAAGCAAAGATGTTGTTTGCCTGTGTTTTTTTTATATTTATTGCAACACAAGTTTGGTCTTATCTCGACGGTTGATCAACCTAACTAGCTTTCCTGGTAAAGTAAGCCTTGTGAAAGGACCTTTGAATCTGTTTTTATCATCTCTTACCACCCCTTTTCTTCATAGGTCCTTTCTTCCGTCTTAAATTCTTGTGTTTTGATTTGTAACTCTGGAAGATAAAAAGTGCAAATTGACTTCAAATTATTCTTGTTTAGTTGCACCATATTTTCTAATTTAACTTCATAAAAGTAAATTCATGATGTTACAAACTCAAAAACATGAAGGCAATAAATACCATTTTATTTTTGTTGTTTTTTCTGAAAGAAAACACTATGACAAGAAGAAGGAAGATGAATACTCAAGCTCCTACCACAGGATTTAGGAAACAGTTTTTACCGCATTTTGAGATGAACAATTTTATGATGAACAATTTTGTGAAAGTACACCATGTACACAAGGCCAAATTTAATATCCAAAGCATTTTGCCATATGATATTTCAAGGTTTTCTATTTAAAATCAGAATAAACCGTTCATAAGCCTATATAAAACCAGGTTCTTTCAAATAGAATTTGAAAGACCATGATAAAACTGTAACGTTACTTTATGAGCGGGCATTTTTTTCATCCCAGGATCAACAAGGCCATTTAATATGTATGCCTTGCAAATTCAAAGAACAATTATGTTTTTGTCAGTTCCTATGATCCAGAAATTTATGCTATATAACGAAATCATTAAAAAACTGGTTTTAGATTTTTGTAAATTAAATTTCAATCATTTCAATCAAGATTGATCCAATTTGGCCATGTTGTTGTAGAGGAGATGTCAATTGCAACGAATTTGGACAAACAAAAGTGTCCATAATATAAAATGAGCACTATGACAAAAAGATTGAGAAAACCAACCTCAATAAGGTGACGTCTCTTGGAAAACCAATCTCCTTGATTAGAGCTATCTTTTTTCTGTGTTACACATTCTGAAATAAAGATAAACACATTTGTGAACATTTACCCTACCTAATTCATATGCTTTAACAATCCATTCTTATACTTTTTTTCAATAACAAAAGGCTAAAGTTAAGCAGCTGTAAGTAGTTTGTGAGGTCAGTGGGTACACTAATCGGACTGTCTCGCAAAGCTCGAAAGTGGTCATATCAGTATAATCAATGTAACAAATGATTTATATATTTTAGGCAAACATGACAATACCTTTCTATCTATCTGACACATTCCTCTGTATAAAGTTGAATATCTGTTTTTACAAAGTCTTAGCTATATATTGATCCTTTACTACAAATATTTTAGATGCCTGTCATAGATGATTTCCATTTATTTTTGAATCAGTACTGAAGAGAAAATTGGGTTCAAATCAAATCATATCTTAAAGAATTATTGCTTCAATAAGATCTTAAGGCAACCAAAGCTGAAGGGTCAACACAAATTAAAACCAGATGCATATAAAACTTACCTTTAAGTCTTTCATCATTTGGCAAGAAGAAAAAGTTTTTGGGTTTTGTAATATCCGAGGCTTGTTTGGAAGTTTGCTCTATTGTATCCATTTTCTCAACACTGAAAATAAAAGTTGGTCCATTATATCTTAGAATCTTCATTTGTTATTATGCTGAAATGTATTTACTAATTGAGAGCTCTAATGGGATGAAAGATGTAACTTTAAACTTATTGATCTCTTTCCTGAAACTTCCTTCATCTATGTAATATAAAACAAAACAGTATCACATCATATCAAATTTCTAGATAGGAAATTTTATGGTCACAGAAGTTTCACTTTCTGAAACTTGAAACCATAGGAATTGCTTTTTCCAAATGTAATTAACATCATTATATTCCATCTTTTATCATGTAATGTTTTGTAATCTGTAAATGCAATACTATCTTTGAAATTAGAATGGTCCATTAAGTTGATTCGGGGAATTTGGTTATCAAAATTGACTTGTTTCCAGGCTGATCTGGCTGTAAAACTGTTGCAAGTCATTATCTTTAGAAAATTTGATGGTTAATTACTTAATTTATAATTTAAATCTGATGGGTTAATTAATTCATTTATAATTTAAATCTGATGGGTAAATTACTTCATTTATAATTTAAATCTGATGTGTTAATTACTTCATTTATAATTTAAAGTAGTATTAAATAAATATGAAGAAATATTTTACCCTCTGCTTTAAAACCAAGCATTCTACAGTTTCATTAATCTTTTTAACAGTATTGTTGTAAATCTCATCAAATATTATTCATAAATTACAATTTTTAACGGAAAACCCCAATGTAACACTAAAGTTTGTATACGAATTTTAACATGCAAATGAAGACTATAATCAGCTTGTGTATGCGCTATGTCACAGTGTTAAAGTTGCTATACGGACACAAAAAATATGAGATTTTCTTGTGCACACTTTAACCGTTTTAGCTTCAAGGTGCACTAGACCTGGCATTCAGAAAAAGTAATCATCTCATCAAAAAGATTAAATTTGTATGAAAACATCCGTTACAATGTAGAAATATACCGTTAAATTAGGACTGCTACTTATAGTCATGTTTGTTAATTTAATATTGATGTACGGATGATCTAAAGGCGGAGTTTCACATGCAAACAGAAATTGTATTTTCGGTTTCGCCACAATGAGGTTGCAGATTTTATGCTTATAAAACTCATTTTGGTTGTCTGGACACCAAAATAAGACCTGGAGTCGACGTGAAACCCAATTTATTAATGAAATGTTGCTATTTCTGTTTTTATGAAACTTTAAATCTGATGGGTTAATTACTTCATTTATAATTTAAATCTGATGCCAGGGTTAATTACTCTATTCATAATTTAAATCTGATGGGTTAATTATGTTGTACTTTATTTATAATTTCTAAATTTCTACTATCTTTTACATATTGTGTTTTTATCATTAACACATTTTTTTTTTCTTTTTTGTCTTATACAAATATTACAATTTTTTGCTTACTTTTTCTCCAGTTCTTTACCAGTAATTTCTTTCTCATCATCGTCCCCATCACTGTCTTCATGATGAGCATCATCTCTAACATTAAATCTATTAGCCAGTGAGAGTTGGTTAGTTCTCAGAACATCAGGTATTGGTATGGCAGAACCTATATAAATGGAACCAAAACATCAACATCATGTCAAGGTATGGCTGAATATATTAATATATTTTATACTTTAAAAGGAACGAAAATCAAATACATGTAATGTTCTGAGATAACCTATGAATAGATTATATACATCAGGTTATGGTTTGGTGAAAACAATTATTGGAATATACAAATGCATATAAGGTAAAACTAGAGGATGCTTTTGTAAAAAAGCGCATGTCTCCCCCACTGCACTGTGACCTTGACCTTTGACCTACTGACCCCAAAAACAATAGGGATCATCTGCTCTATAAGACCAATCATCCTATGAAGTTTGAGGGCTGTAGGTCAAAAGGAACTCTAGTTATCATCCGGAAACGAGAAATTGACCAACGGTCACTGTGACCTTGACCTTTGAACTACTGACCCCAAAAACAATAGGGATCATCAGCTCTATAAGACCAATCATCCTATGAAGTTTGAGGGTTGTAGGTCTAAAGGAACTCTAGTTATCATCCGGAAACGAGAAATTGACCAACGGTCAGTGTGACCTTGACCTTTGACCTACTGACCCCAAAAACAATAGGGATCATCAGCTCTATAAGACCAATCATCCTATAAGTTTGAGGGCTGTAGGTCAAAAGGAACTCTAGTTATCATCCGGAAACGAAAAATTGACCAAACGGTCACTGTGACCTTGACCTTTGACCTACTGACCCCAAAACAATAGGGATCATCTGCTCTATAAGACCAATCATCCTATGAAGTTTGAGGGCTGTAGGTCAAAAGGAACTCTAGTTATCATCCGGAAACGAGAAATTGACCAACGGTCACTGTGACCTTGACCTTTGAACTACTGACCCCAAAAACAATAGGGATCATCAGCTCTATAAGACCAATCATCCTATGAAGTTTGAGGGTTGTAGGTCTAAAGGAACTCTAGTTATCATCCGGAAACGAGAAATTGACCAACGGTCAGTGTGACCTTGACCTTTGACCTACTGACCCCAAAAACAATAGGGATCATCAGCTCTATAAGACCAATCATCCTATGAAGTTTGAGGGCTGTAGGTCAAAAGAAACTCTAGTTATCGTCCGGAAACGAAGAATGGACGGACGGACGGACTGACGGACGGACGGACAGGGCAAAAACAATATGTCTCCCCCCGAGGTGGGGGAGACATAATTATTGGAATATACAAATGCATATGAGGTAAAATTATTGAAATATACAAATGCATATAAGGTAAAATTATTGGAATATACAAATGCATATAAGGTAAAATTAATGGAATATACAAATGCGGATAAGGTAAAATTATTGAAATATACAAATGTGGATAAGGTACAAGTATGGCCATATTTATAATTCTCCAAGTCTATGAAATTATGAATAGTATACACTTACACATCTGGCATTCATTGCTCATTGAAATGATTTACTCATAGAAGAAGAATAATTTTTTTCAGTGCATTTTCAGTAAGTTCTAGGTAGGCAGAAATTTCAACCTTCAATACCTTACCTTTCATTTCTTAATATTGACTACCCTTGAAAAAAACTCCAAATGACCTGAGGCAAGTTGTTCATGGTTCATGCATTGTTTGGATAAGTATTTTTATGTTCTGAACATAAGAAATGTTTGGTTTTTCTTTCAAAGTTTCATCAAGTCTATAGTTACCTTGAGCACCTTTTGCTACGTTAGCATCATCATCAATTTCATCATCACTGTAATGAGTACCAAATGCAGCTAGTAGAGAGAATCCCCCTCCACTTGAAGGGGCATCAGTTGTTGCCTTTGCTTTCTCTACAAATGTGTTCTTTAAGGTATCGGAAATCTCGTAAAACTTTTCCTTAGTCACCTCTGGCAAAATAACTGCAGGTTCTGTTTCCAAGGCAGTTACTTCCTTCTTAGCTTTTTTCCTTAAATAAACAAAATCGATTGTTAATGATACAAAAATTTCTTTCTTGATCTTATAATTTTTTATTATTGTTGTTTCTATTTTGTTTTGTTTCATTGTGTTTATGCAACTTTCCTACTTAAAATTCTTGTGAAACATCTTATGTGGAATGAAGATTGTAATCAACATTTTGTCTTAAACAAAGTGTCATAAAAAGCATTACAAATGTTTAACAAGAGCACTGCTAGGCGGAGCATTATATGCCCGAAAGTGTTTTTTTTTTATATTAAGGATGAAGCATTTGTAAAACATTGCATAAATTAAATAAAGTATTACCTCCTTCCAATAGCATTCCTCCTATAAAGTTTGAATATTGTGGGCCAAATAGAAATTAAGTTATACTCCGGAAACTGTTTTCAGTTTTAAAGTAATAGTGACCTTGACCTTTGACCTTGTGACCCCAAAATCAATAGGGATATTCTACCCAATATGGACAATTAACCCTTTGAAGTTTGAATATTGTGGGCCAAATAGACCTTAAGTTATGCTCCGGAAACTGTTTTCAGTTTTAAAGTAATAGTGACCTTGACCTTTGACCGTGTGGCCCCAAAATCAAAAGGGATATTCTACCCAATAAAGACAATCATCCTATGAAGTTTGAACACTGTAGGCCAAATGGAACTTAAGTTATGCTCCGGAAACTGTTTTCAGTTTTAAGGTGATAGTGACCTTGACCTTTGACCTTGTGACCCCAAAATCAATAGGGGTCTTCTACCCAATATGGGCAATCATCCTATGAAGTTTGAATGTTGTGGGCCAAATGGAACTTAAGTTATGCTCCGGAAACCAAATTGCTAACGGACGGATGGACAGACGGATAGACAGACAGACAGACGGACGGACGCCAGGGGGTATAACATAATATGCCCGAAATTCTTTCGGGCATATAACAAAAGAAGGATCTAGGATTTTATTTTAGAATATAAATTTCCATGGATTGTAGGCTTTCCCCATGAGATTATCATAAAAGACTATCTAAATAAATCTATATGAGATTATATTAATAAATTTAGGTATAAAGTTAGATCAAAAGATCAATGAATTGCTTCCCACTGAGATTAGTTGCTTAAAACTGTTAAAAGGAAAATACTCGCTTTATTTATTTCATGACTCAAATATTGCCATTGTTTTATACAACTAAATTACCAAAACCAATGCTCAATCAACAGGGGTATAATTTTAGTAAAAATATGTAGATAAAATTTACTTCTTCTTCCGTTCCACAGGTTGAGGCAGTTCAACTTGTTTAGTCTCCACTTCGAACTGTTTATGCTCTTCACATGTTGGGTCATACATCAATGCTCCTATATCCCTGCAAGTGAAACATTAAATATAGTCAGAACAGTTAACTAAAGTATCTATGATAAATGTTATCTAACATACTGAGGCATTCATTACCAAGTTGTTGCTGACTTTTTTGAGTCCCTTATTGCTGCCTACTGTAGGCTGGAATCCTACTAATATTTTGAAAAGTTGGTGGTCCTACTAAGGTGTCCCCATATTCATTGTAATGGACAGATGGGCATTAGAAGTCTTCCTTAACTAGCTTTGTATGAAAGTCATGTCATAATATGACCATGAAGGCGAGACCCTGCATTCAACCCAAATCAAATCTAATGTGTCAAATTTGTTAAAACAAACTTGGCATTAAGTCACATGAAAACAGAATGAGGATAAACTTAAATTTTCGAAATGACCAGAAAATTTTTGTATCAAAATAACATCTTTACAAAAAAAATCAAAATTATGAAACATAATCTTTTGACTTTTTAAAAAAAAAACCCAACCCAAAGCTGTCGGTAGGACAGAATGCTCTACTATACCCAGTACTTGATAGCAAGAGAAGAGTCTGGATAATGTAGAATTTTCTATGTTTAAAAATGACCATAAATCTATCAAAATCCATGTCAGAGTTATGGGCCTTAGATACTGACCTCCTATTATGTTCTCAAATAAGTGTGCGAAGATTCAACCTATTCCATTCAATACTTTTGGAGATAACAACTTGCACCTAAAAACTTAACGAAAGTCTGAGACCGATGCTTTGTTAAGTACAACAGCTATCCCTTCAAAACAGTCGCGGTAACAAAAATGTGAAAACAAAAGTTTTATTTTTTAGTCTTACTTGAATTTTTTCTTTGCTTTATCCTGTTTGTTTACACCACTGACAGCTTTAATACCAACTACAGACTGGAGAATTTTCAGAGATCTGGTTGTTTCATCCTCCTCTACTATTTTCTCTTCCTCTGAAAATCACAGCAAAAAGATAATTCATAAGCAATTAGTTCCCCATGAATTTTTTTAAAACTGTATTTGAGATTGGCAGAGGGTTCTTGAGGGGCTGCATGTGTCAGAAAATTAAATACTCTCTCTTTAATCAAGCATGATGAATAAGTTACCTCCCTTAATAGCAAATTTTGTAAAGCCTATAAACAGCACATACACATGTATGTATAGCATTTTAAAGTTTAATTCGTACCATTAAATAAAGATTGTTGGGTAAATTTTGTGCTAGCAATCATATGCATCTCTCATTTTATGGAAAACTAGAATTTTTTAAGAGAATTTTTTTTTTCATTATCTTTTCGAATATTAAAAATGCAAGACTAAACTGGTTTTAAAGATAAACTGTTGACGTTTTTTTCAAAGCTGCAATTTTGTTATAAATACCTTCATCTTCGGAACCGGACTCTATAAACCTGGCATCAAGCCTAAATCTCTCATCATGACCAAATCTTGCCTGAAGCTTTGCCAACTGTAAAATGATAGTAATTATGTAATTATTACATGTGATAATAGAGCACCTGTTACATTTAGTTCAACCTTTGTAAAGCAATTACCTCTTCACAACAACAGTTACAAATTCTTGTTAAATTAAGTACACTGGGCCTCTATTAAACACAACAACCACTCAACAATTATAGCAGTATAATTAATTTCAAAAGTAAGACATTCAATTAATTTAATCTCTCTTGAGCAAAAAGTGAAAATAAGAATCCTTAAAGAAAGCTCAAAATGGCAAAATTGAAAATGATGCAGGCTTGGTTTGATTGAGCCTGTTCATGAACAGTAATGTTTAACTACTGCCCAACACCTATAAGCAGGAACCAAACTATTTGTCACCAAATCTGAATCTGCAGAAGTTGTACTGTACTCATTTCAATATTTTAACACAGATATAGTTCATATCAAGACAGGAAGTCATGTTCTATATAGAGCTTCCATTAGGAAGAGTTTGGTTGTCTTGTTACTGAGTCATTTTGGCTTGTGACTTCTAAAATATAATGCTTTTCTTTCCTTATCTATATCATGTGATGTCCAATGTCAAACATTTTGCAGTCTTAAACCTCAAATTTTGGAATGTTATGGCATTGCCGCAATCAGAACATCTGGGCTATTATCATTAATAACCTCAGATTTTATACATACACTGTACACATGTACTTGAAAGTACTTATACCATGTGGTTTTAGATGTAAACAAATACAGAGCGTGAAATCTTTGATAATGTAAAAAAATGTAAATTTTTTACATCAAAAGGAAAATAAAGTCTTAATCATGATTGAACATATGTCTGACATTCATAATCAATTTAAAGATGCTAAATGATGTACAATTATAACCAAATCCAAATAAATATCAGGTAATGATTGACATACCTTTCTTCCTTCAGCACCTTCAAATTCTTCCCTAATGTTAAATCTGTTTGTATCATTATCACTACCATCATCATCACGGTTATCATCTGAGTCAAATAAAGTTTTAGACTTGGCCGGTGTTTTGGTCTGAAACATTGTAAAAATATTCTAAATAAGTTCATGACAGATTCATCTTTTTCTGAAAAAAAGAAAACAACAACCAAAAAAACAGCAAATGAACATTATAATCATGGCTTTTTAACAGAAATTTAAATAGTAATTAATTACGGAAATGTGTAAGATAATTATTTATTGCAGAAACATATAAAGTAATTTATTACAGAAATGTATCAAGTATGTTCAAAATATCAATCATTAACTAAATAGAGGATATTGGATGAGTGTCGGTTCAATACAGAATTTAATGAACAAGGTCAATAAAAATTTATTACATGAGCCTCTGGAAAGCATTATATTATTTCATTCAACAAGTTCAATAAATTTAGTAATGAACTACACAAATATAATATTCTATTTATCACATATCCAAAAAAGAACTGTTTACAGTAAAAAGAATCACTTTTTCATTGATGTGTTTATAGTGTGAAAGTATCATTTTATAGCCTGTCTTTACACTATGTTTGTATAATGTTTATATTTATTAATGTCATATGAAAATATATGCATGGTCGTACAATACCATTTTTACGGAGTCACAAAAGCAGCATGGGTGTGTGATAAAAAAAAACATTATGTAACACTTCCATGGATTCATTACGTAAATATACGTCATATATTACCTCTGCAGGCACATTTATATTCTGGTTTTGAAACTTGCATACTGGTATTGGTTCATCTGTTTCCATGGAAACCTGCTCTTCTTCAGAGTCAGAATCAAACTTTATCTTTGTGTTCACAGTTTTACTGGCATCCTGCAGTAACAATTTGTATCAAAATAATCATTCTGGAACAAAACTTAAGTATAACTATTAAAGTAGTTATATTTCAAACTGTGGATCAGTATTATAATAACTAGAATTGGTAATTTGAGAAGTTGTCCTGATTTTATAAAAGCACCAAGACTTGCAAATCGATTCCAAATTTTATAAGGTATATAGAAGTAATATGAAACTTGAACCCAAAAGCATGTTATACAACCAAAAACTGTTCTCAAAGCTTTTTTTACTTTTCCTTTTTAGCTAAACCTTTGAGTGTCTGCATAGAAAATTATAAAATCTTTGCTAACACTGTCGAGGTCAGTTCACACATCTGACCAGAACACAGGTTTTATCCTTTCTGCTGTCCATTTTATATTAATGCTCAAGGAAGGGGTTTGAACTCATATTGCTAGCAATCATAAGATAACGAGTCTGGTGTTTTAACCACATAGCCATGACAACACTTTTATGTAATTATATACACAATAAATTCTACTCACAATGTTTGAAAGTGCATTCTTAATGAGTGATTTCAGTGCGAGTGCCTCTTTCTGTCTTTGTTTTACTGCTGCCAGTCTCTTCTTGTCTGTGTCAGCTTTGTTGTCTTGTTGTGGTACTTTTACTTGTGTTTTAATGTCCTGAGTAAAGACCTTTTTAACTGGACTAGGATCATCAAAAGAAGTTTTCACATTTTTCTGAAAGGTGCAAGCATCCACTGTAGAATCTTGCGAGTTAAGTGTCCTTTTCACTGGACTGGATACATTCTTATTCCTTTTATCATTTACACCAACATTCTGAGGACCACTATCCTTAGTCTCTATGGGGTCCTTTGAGTAAGATTTAGTTCTTTCTGCTTGTTTTAAGTCTGTTTTAACAGAATCAGATTTGATTGGTATTTCACTTCCTCCTTTGGTCATTATTATATCTGAACTACTTTCAGCTTCAGTACTGTCATCTTCTTCAGAGTCACTAACAGAATCGCTTTCTTCATTCTCATCATCATTCCTAACACCAACTTGAACATTTGCTTCATTGATTTCACTTACACTTTGTACCACAGTGTCAACTTTATCCACAGCAGTTATACTTGTATTGTCATTACATAAACTACTTTCATCATCACTACTGTCTGATTCTGTTTCCACAAGTGTGTCATTATCAGAATCAGAACTCTCTGACATAATAATCCCTGAATAATCTAATGTTTGATTTTTCTTACCATCAGATATATGTTTATTTTTATTTTCAGGACTTTCGCCTATATCTTCATTACTATTAATGCTAACATTACTACTAGTGTCATCATCACTGCCTAAATCATTAAACTGACTATTAATATCTAGATTTCGATTATGGTTAGATTTTAGTACATCTAAGACATTATTTGAATGTTCAAGGACTTTGTTAACATTGTCATTCATTTCCTTGTCTTTATCAGTATCTGCACCTGAACTTTCTTCAGAACTTTCAGACTCAGTACTGGACTCACATTTGTTATTGGATTTATTAAGAATTTTACTGGCTTTTGGGGGATCATCCAAAGTTGTATCTGAATGTTTGACATTTACAACATGTGCTTCTTTAACAGCTTTAGATATTAATGTTTCAAAGTCACTACTACTGTCACTTGCATCATTATCATCATCAACAATATTAATATCATCATCATCATCATCACTTTCATCATCATCATCAATTTCCCTGCATAGAGAGACACTTGCCACTGGTTTACTGACACAGCCTTCTTCCATTTGTTCCTCTGTATTCATAACTATAGTGTTTGTTTTTTCATTTACACTAACTAAGTCAGTTTTAGTCTCATTATCAGGGTCATCACTACTGCTACTGCTGTGGTAACCTGTCTTGATTTCTTCACTCTTGCTGCTTTTGAAATATCCAACCTCCTTTTCATCCAGTTTTAATTGTTCTAAATTTGAAGTTTCAACTTGTACCTTCCTTGATTCTATTTTAGCTATTTCCTTTTTAGCATATCTTTCAAAGTCACTATCCTCATCATCCTCTTCTGAGCTAGGACTCACTTTGGACTGTTCTACCATATCAATTCCACTGGCAAATTCATTGGAAAGAAATTTTGGATCCACAAAATTCTTAAGACCTGCTCTTTTCAAATTTGATTTTTCAAAGTTAATTTCTATTGGTTGTTTTTTCACTTTTAAATGAGCCTTTCTTTTGGATTCACTGTTAGATTCCTTATGAATTGGACATACCACATTATCAACAGTTGTTTCTTTGACCTTAATATGAACATTATTGCTTTGAGGACCCTTTAAATCTAATTTTGTGTTTGAATCTGATGTTAGAAATTTGGTACCACGAAATGCTAACAATGTTTTCTTACCCTCTACAATCTTTGGTTTCAAGTTAGAATTGTCTTTGATGTTCTGATTCTTTATAACAACATTGCTAGTATTTTGTTGATTGGATAAATCATCGTCATCATCATTATCACGATAATCAGATTCACAGTCAGATTCATACCCGTCACTTTCATTATCACTGTCAACGAAATCATCTCTACCACTCTTTAAATCCTTCAATCCATTTGAATATTCATCAGCAACATTTTGAGATTGTACAGTTTTATTGTTCTTTTTCATCATCGGATTTGATTCTAATATAACTTTTGATGATTGGACACCTTTAATATTGGTTTGAGGCTTATTTGTAATCCCTATATTTTGTTCCAGCTTTTTCTCTAAGGATTTATTTTGAGTTTGATTGAATTGTCCAAGACCAGATTTTCTAAATGAATCTTTGGACAATTCCTCTTCAGAATCAGAATTAAACCGGGAAAGATCCATATAACCATCAACAATATTGTTTGTTGAGGATCCAACCATGTCAATTCCATTTTCTTCACGATCAGAATCTATGCTTCCTACATTATTAAAACCATGCTTCGCTTTATCTGACATAGGACCTCGCCCAGTGTTACTTTTTACTGGCACAACTTCAAATTCTGAATTACGATAAGTCTTATCACTTTCTACAACTTCTAAAACTTTCTGCTGTAAATCGTCTTTGCTGGAAACACCATTTATGTTTCTATTTCGTTTTACTTTAGGTGTCCATTCAGGGAATTCACCTTTCCGTTTTTTACTTATTTCATTATCATACTCTTCTAATTGCCAAGTAAGCTGGCTTGGATTAACATTATCTACATATTTATCATCTTTTATTCTCTTCAAGTTATGCGACAGCTTTGATGGGTCAATCTTCAAGATCTTGACAAAGTATTAAGGAACAATTTATTTCTTGTTGACTTATGATCATTACACATGCAGTTTTGAGTCTAACCAACACACATAGACACATCTACAGCTTAAGTTTGTTTTTGTCTGTTTAATATATATTGCAACAATTTTGGCAAAGGACAGAGTTCTTAAAAGCCTAGCAATTTTCACCTTTTCTTAAAAAACCTTCTGCCGATGTTATAATTTAAAATGTAAATAAAGCATGTCCTAAATTTAGGCATCAAGCATTTGCGACTTACTAATGAGTTTTAACTTTATACTTTCCTCTACAAAATTTCAAACAACCAAGCTCAATGATCTATACATTCTTAACATTTACATCTTGATGAACACAAACACTGATTTAATGTGCACTGAAACTGAAACAACCTATCATTTTGTAAGAATGCTGTGACAATTGATCAAATGTAAAGGGAGGTATGTAAGTAAAATATATGGTAGAACATTTGATCAAATGTAAAGGGAGGTATGTAAGTAAAATATATGGTAGAACATTTGATCAAATGTAAAGGGAGGTATGTAAGTAAAATATATGGTAGAACATTTGATCAAATGTAAAGGGAGGTATGTAAGTAAAATATATGGTATAACATTTGATCAAATGTAAAGGGAGGTATGTAAGTAAAATATATGGTAGAACATTTGATCAAATGTAAAGGGAGGTATGTAAGTAAAATATATGGTAGAACATTTGATCAAATGTAAAGGGAGGTATGTAAGTAAAATATATGGTAGAACATTTGATCAAATGTAAAGGGAGGTATGTAAGTAAAATATATGGTAGAACATTTGATCAAATGTAAAGGGAGGTATGTAAGTAAAATATATGGTAGAACATTTGATCAAATGTAAAGGGAGGTATGTAAGTAAAATATATGGTAGAACATTTGATCAAATGTAAAGGGAGGTATGTAAGTAAAATATATGGTAGAACATTTGATCAAATGTAAAGGGAGGTATGTAAGTAAAATATATGGTAGAACATTATTTCACTGTGGTGATTTGATATGTACTGTGAAGTAATGATTTTTGTTGAAAAAGGATACTTTGCTAGCCCCAGTCTTTTTCATATGAACAATAGGCAGAACTCTCCCATACTTTCCAACAACCCATTTCTGAAAATATATATGTATAATTAGGTATATATGTAACACTTTTATTACAATGTACCTGTAATGATTGCCTGTATTATTTATCTGCAAGTAAATGGCAATAATAACTGACCTATACTACCAATATTTGTTTGTTTGATTGTGTTTTACATCACACTAACACAGTATAGGTCATATGGTGACGTTCCAGCTTTAACTGATAGAGGAAGACCTCAGGGGTGCCCTTCCGTGCATTATTTCAGGCACAAACAGGCACCAGATTAGAACAACGGACGTTCCGTAAGCTAGCTGTCGGGATTCAAAACCACAGTCGTAAGGGTGCCACGAATATAATCAGGTCAGCAAATGAATGTGCATGCAGTCTGACTGGACACTTTACTGTCAACTACTCAATTTTGGAACATTAATACTGAAATCCATTAAAACTCAGAGGAATACAAGTCCATTATTCCGATTCAGTGAGATAAAGGTTAATCAAGGCTGAAATTTTAACTAGGTAATCAACAGTTTCATCATATACAAAATTTCGAAACATCCCATGTAAATTCTAGAATGAAAGGTATTTTGCTTTTATATACACAGATTTCAACACATTTTGGTCCATCAAATGGCTCTCCTGGATAACTTACTAGTAATTACCAGTTTAAAATTTAAAAAAATCTTTACATTTTGCTACATTTATGACAAATAACTTCACACTTAACTCTACTTTTTTCCCCATGTGACAAGCATCTAACATACTCTAAAATTATAATTTTAACATTATAAAACTCATGTAACTGGGTGATTTGTTTCTGCATATAGGAAACGTGCCTGAATCACAGTATTCTAGAAGATGTAACTTTTAAAGGAAAAATTTGAAGTATTGATTTAAACAGGTTGACTCACCTCCTCCCCTGGTATTACAGTACCAGGAACTGCCCCTCGCATGTTAAAGTTTGCAGCTGTGGCTATATCAGATATGGCCATTAGTTTGCTCTGTATACCTGATACAAGAGCATCTGGAATCTCTTTCACTGTCAAATCTTTTAATGCTTCCTCTCTTTCCTTTTTAAGCCTGTAATTTGATACAAGATATATACTTCAAATAACATTACTTATTATCTCCAATACATGCAAATGCAGGAGTATATTTTACAGAGCATTCCAGATTGTACAATTTGATATTCATTACTTTATTAATCAGACATTGCTTTATTGATCAGAGATTACTTTATTGATAAGACATTACTATATTGATCAGACATTACTCAATTGATCAGACATTACTTAATTGATCACCAATTACTTTACTGATCAGACATTAATTTACTGATCAGACATTACTTTACTGATCAGACATTACTTTATTGATCAGACATTACTTTATTGATAAGACATAACTTTATTGATCATACATTACTTTATTGATCAGACATTAACTTACTGATCAGACATTACTTAATTGATCAGATATTACTTAACTGATCAGACATTACTTAACTGATCTGATCAGACATTACTTTACTTATCAGACATTACTTTATTGACCAGACATTACTTTATTGATCAGACATTACTTTGTCAGTCAGACATTACTTTCATGATTAGACATTTCTTAACTCATCAGAAATTACTTAAATCAGACATTACTTATTTGATCAGACATTACTTTATTGATAAGATATAACTTTATTGATCATACATTACTTTACTGATCAGACTTTACTTAACTAATCAGACATTACTTTATTGATCAGACATTACTTTATTGATCAGAAATTACTTTATGGATCAGAAATGACTTAATTGGTCAGACATTACTTTACTGATCATAAATTACTTTATTGATCAGAAATTACTTTATGGATCAGACATAACTTTATTGATCAGACATTACTTTATATATCAAGCATTACTTTATTGACCAGACATTACTTTATCAATGATACGTTATTTTTCGGACCAGACATTACTTTATAGATCAGGCATTACTTTATTGATCGGACATTACTTTATTTGATGACAAATTATCTTATTGAACAGATATCACTTGCCTGATCAATATTGCATTGTTGCTACTAATGTAAAGAAAAGTGTCTGGTCCTTTTTAACTGTTAGATATACATGAATATCAAGCAAATTGTTCAACAAAAGAAAAACAGTCCATTTTATTGCCTTACTTTTTCATGAAGTCTTCTTTAGCAACCTGTATTTTCAACTCAGAACCTTTCCATCTGGTTTTGTTGTACGTACTTACACCTATATAAACAAAAATGCATTAAATAATAGTCAATTTCTAAACAAAAACTCTTTTTGGGATTTTTGATTTTTTAAAGATTTGGATACTTGTGAATTACTTATTCTTTGTCATTACATGACAACAAACTGGAGCAGTGTTATAGGAAATTACATTTATTTGAATCTGCCTTTCGACATAATTTTCATTAGCAGTAAATTTGTTTATGTTCTTACAATTTTCAGATATTATTTTAACTTTTATAAAATAAATTCTGATTAAATCAGCTATACAATTTCTTTTGCAATGAAAGAAATACTAACATTTAATTAACTACTTACATTTTTTAAAGTCTCTCTCAATAGTTTCCAGGTCTATATAAGCAAATGTTTTTATAGGATTTCCTGTCAAATAAGAGATAGATAACATTTTGTATTTCATGATACTAATAAAACGAATGCTTTAAATATAATAAGTTGTTGCATAAAAAAACTTGGTCACGTCTTAGTCATTCCTACATCAGTAGAAGAAAACATAATATTATATTCAAAATGTACATGTAAATACTGTTTGTTTGCTTGGTTTTTAAGCCAATTTTGACACATTTTAGGATATATTTCTGGGGTTGGTCCACCCAACTGGCTTTCCAGACATCGAACCAGTAATTACACATTTCTCCGGTAGTGACTGACTACTTATGATCATCCCTAGAGATAGAAACAATATTGATGTATCGTGACATTTTTCTTTGATCAACAATCAATACACAATTAAAAAATCAATAATTTTGATTAATTAATTTCATGTCTATAGTATAAATTATGAAAATTCTCTCAAAACAGATACAGAAGCAGGTGTCTATGTCTCACATTATGCTGTTGTTACATAGTGGAAATATTTCATAGCAATGATGACAAATAAATGGTCAGGAAAAAATCATGCAATGGGCATTTATCAAAAAGACACTGAACAGAACATGTATTTTACAGAAATCATTTAAACAGGTATGAAAGTTAACAACAACAAGAGCTGTCACAGGAGACAGCCAAGCTCGACTAATAAAATACTGGACGCAGTAAGGAGGACAAAACTATGAAAGAAAAATCAATTATGTATAATTATGTATTAAGTTATAGTAAAAAAATAACATTTGTTAAAATAAATTCCAAGATCACAGGAAATAATTCTAGAAATAGTCACGCTAGAGTTATGAACCTTGTCACACAACATGTATGTAATGATAAGAAGTATATATTTGAAGTTTGAAGTAGATACCTTAAAAAATAAAGAAGTTATAGTATTTTTTAAAAAAAATTAAGTTCAAAGAGAGAAAAATCTGTAAATATTGCTTCAAGAGTAATGAACCTTGTCACATAAGATGTAATTTATGATAAGGAATAAGTATTTGAAGTTTGAGGTAGATACCTTTAAAACTAAAAAAAGTTATAGTAAAAAATAACATTTTTCAAGTAAGAAAATAAGTTTATGGGGAAATAAATAATTCTTGCAATACTGGTGCTAGAAATATGAACCTTGTCACATAATATGTGGTTCATGATGATAAGGTACAAATATTTGAAGTATGAAGTTGATCCCTTTAGAAATAAATATTAAGTTACAGTAATAAAAAATAATATTTTTTAAAGAAAATTCTAAGTTCAAGGGGAGAGAAATCTGAAAATATTGGTGCTAAAGTTATGAACCTTGTCACATAAGATGGGGATGATGATAAGGTACAAATATTTGAAGTATGAGGTTGATCCCTTAAGAAATAAAGAAGTAACAGTAAAAAATAGTATTTTTTAAGGAAAATTCTAAGTTCAAGGGGAGATAAATCTGAAAATATTGGTGCTAGAGTTATGAACCTTGTCACATAAGATGTGGTTGATGATAAGGAACATATATTTGAAGTTTGAAGTTGATACCTTAAGAAATGACAAAGTTATAGTGAAAAATATTTTACTGCACCAAAACTTTAATCTGAAATCTGGACGCGGACGCCGACGCCGGGGCGAGTAGGACAGCTCTCCGTATACTTCGTATAGTCGAGCTAAAAAGTAATTATATGTAATTATCAACATATTGGTGTATTGCTGATATTTGTCATCTGATATCGATATATTGATAATATCGTTGAATCAATGACAGCTCTACTAATCCTACATGATTTATGAATCAGCAGTGAGTGACTAAGGAACATTGCACTGAATGGTAAAGATCAAATGTTACAGAGAAATTATATGTAGCAAAAAATGATTCAGTTATGCCCGCAGACTAAAATGAAAATACAAAAACATGCAAATACATAGATGAATTTTACAACAATTTCTGATCTGACTGTCCCTTATAAATCAGTTACTTGTGTAACAAAAATGGAAATATTACTTCCTGTGTTCCTCTTTTTAATAATTGATAATAAGTTGTATTTTTTCATGTCAATAACTTATCAGAACCTTCCCTCTAATGAGCAGGTTACAAAAAATCAAGAAAAAATGTAAAAATCAAAACAAGAAAAAAGCTGATTTTAGAGACAAAGTATTTTCACTAACCTCAGAGTTTTCTTTATTCTTTAGCACTTAAAACAGAAAGATCAACACAGCTTGACAAAACAATAACACTTTTGCATAAAAAATGACTCATTTTTAACCTTGCATGTTCTTGTTTTTATGCTGTGATGACAATACAAACAATTAAAGATAAAAGACAGACATACCATTGCTATCCTTCCTTATTTTAATCTCAACACCTTTAACAGTCCCAAATCTTCCAAATCGACTCTTTAATTCATCATCTGTGACCTCGGGGAACAATCCTCCAACAAAAACTCTTTTCTCCTGAACCTTTTCAACACTGGTGTCACTTTCTGATTCAGACATCTTAACTAAATAAATTGTAAAAAAAATACAATATTTCAGCCCTGCATTGATAGATTCTTCAATGTTCAAAAAAAAAAAGAAGTTTTGCTACATACAAAATTTTTGGAGCACTTTCTCAGGCTCTATAGCCTTTGACATTCACGTCATATCACAGTATATAAACAGGTACATTCATATGCTGAAGTCTGTAAGCCATCTTCTGCAAATCCCTTCCAAGGCAGGCACATAATGGAGAAGGTACTCTGTAGGTCAAGTCATTTCAAGTACAAGATGATTGATTACTTTGTTATGACTAACTCAAGAGGGTTGCGCTAACAAGAGCAGTTTTTGTTAGATGATAGCTTGGAAGTATTGACATCCCCACTTATCATCGCCAAAAGAAGAACAGACTTAGAAGTAGAGCTGTCATCGATAGAAGCGATATCGATGTATCATTGATATTTTTTTGTCGATCGATTATCGATTCAAATTTTAGAAAATCGATACTTTCACTAATTACTAAAAGCCTAGAAATTACTAAAATATATAGCCCATACAGTACATTAAAATAGTTTGTTTAAAGTTCCTGTGGAAAAGACGAAAATTAACTCAAAACATAAACGGAAACAGGTGCCCTGTCAAAAGGACATGTCTAAAACTATACCGTGACTACTAAATGGACAGCTACTGTATGGTAGCTGTATTTTCACCTCAGAAAAAACATATTTCTCTGTGTTGAAAATTATACAGAGATCTGCCGAGGACGCGATTTTGCGCCATTGGCGCTAAAAAAATGAGAATGGCGCAGGAAAATCGGCAGCAAAGGGCCATGGGCGCATCTCAAATCTGTGCCAGACGTATAAGAAAACAAAACTGTCTGCTGGGTTATTTAGTCATCCAGTCAAAACTGGTATCAACAGCAACATGTTACCCATGCTCCTGTAATTACGCATATTCTTGAGTTTATCCATAATAAAGAATCCCCTATAGCTTTTGTCCATGTTATCTACTTACCGCATTTCTTCTCATAATCCCTTTCCCACACAGATACTCATTTCTACTACCGTAAATTTAATCCAATAAAACAAACAAACAAATCATACAACTACTTAGTATTTAAAATGATTATCGGTAACTGAAAAACAAGATTGCATTTGAGAAAAATGCTATGCCACCGCATGGTTCAAATTTCATAGCTGTACATCAAAGGACAAGAAAGTAGGTCACATAATCAAAATCTAGGTCAAAGTTCAATTTTACAACTAAAACTGTGCACATGGTCAAAATGTCATTGCTGTACATCAAAGGACAAGAAAGTAGGTCACTGTCCCCTTGGGCAAGGCATAATTTTGACCCAAGGGTTTAATAACAATCTTGATACAGGTCCACCAAACAACATTTCAAGTCAAATATCTAAGCTATAGCTTTCTCCCATTCAGAAAACATTTGTTTTATTTTCTGTTTTTACTACGTGTACATAATGAGAATCACTGCCCCCGGGCAGGGCCAATTTTTGACATTTGAACAACTTTGGTAGAGGACCTATAGATGATATTATATATCAAACATCAAAGCTCTATGCCTTGAACCTTCAGACAAATTTTTTTTTTCACTATATGTACATAATGAAAATCAATGACCCCCGGGGCGGAACCAATTTTGACCCCAGGGCTATAATTTGAACAATCTTGCTAGAGGTTCACTACATAATGTTTCATGCAAAATATCTTAACTCTATCCTTTGTCAATTTAGAGAAGATGATTTTTTAAGTTTTAACTATATACATATAAGATAAACCTATGGCTCCCAGGGGCGGGGCTAATTTTGACACAAGAGGCAAAATTTGAACATCTTTGGTAGAGTACCTTTCATATGATGATATTATTTAACAAATATTAAAGCTAGATCTAAGCCTTGTACCTTCAGACAATAAGATTTTTTTATTTTTTACTATATGTATATATTGAAATCAATGACCTGGGGGTAACTTTGACCCCAGGGCTATAATTTGAACAATCTTGCTAGAGGTTTACAACACAATGTTTCATGCAGAATATCTAACCTCTAGCATTTGTCAATTGCTAGAAGAATTTTTTTTAAGGTTTTACTATATACATATAAGGAAAACCAATGACCCCTGGGACGGGGTTGATTTTGACCCCAGGGCTATAATTTGAACAATCTGGGTAGAGGTCTACCAGACAATGCCTTATGCAAAATATCTAAGCTCTAGGCCTTTTGGGTCTTTACAAGAAGGTGTTTTTAGTTTTTACTATATGTACATATAGCGAAAATCAATGACCGCGGGGCGGGGCCGATTTTGACCCAAGGGCTATAATTTGAACAATCTTGGTAAGGGTCTACCAGATGATGCCTTATGCAAAATATCTAAGCTCTAGGCCTTTTGGGTTTTTACAAGACGGTATTTTAAGTTTTTACTATATGTACATAGTGAAAATCAATGACCCCCGGGGCGGGGCTAATTTTGACCCCAGGGCTATAATTTGAACAATCTTGTTAGGGGTCTACCAGACAATGCCTTATGCAAAATATCTAAGCTCTAGGCCTTTTGGGTCTTTACAAGAAGATTTTTTAAATTTATTCTTATAATTCCTTTTGGTTGCCATGGCAACCAGATTTCTGCATGGAATGAAATTCTTTGAACAACTTTGGAAGCCCTTCACCCAAGGAACAATCCTGCCAAGTTTGGTTGAAATTGGACAAGTGGTTTTTCACAAGAAGATTTTTTAAGTTCACTATATAATCTATATAACACACACACACACAAACAAACAAACAAACACACACACACACACACAGGTGAATCGCTATATGCCACCGCATCGCAGATGCTGCGGTGGCATAAAAAGTGTTGCTATTTTAAGAAATGCTGTAAGTTACAGTATAATCTGACAGGTGTTTAACTTGATCAACCCTAATTTAAGGTCACTCAAGTTCACGCAAGTTTTGGCTGATGAAGTGTAAAAAAAGATGTATATTTCGTAATCAGAATGTTTGACAGGGTGATTAACCAATCAGAGAAACATTGTGCATGACTTTTTTCATGACCAAAAGGTCTGTCGGCAAATGTATTTGATGTATGCTGTCTACACAGAGGCATACAAGGGGCAATAAAATTCGTCAATACACAGTGGTAAGGGACATTTGGTGCAAAGTAGGAACAATTAAATGGATAATGCACAATATAAGACATTACAAGTAAGAACCAGCAATTATGTGAATAAATTTGCATATCAAATTTTTGAGCAGCCATTTAAAAAATATTTTTATTTTTGCCTGCAATTAATATTAGTTAGAAAGTTACCATGTAGGCATAATTTTTAATTATTGGTAAAGTACTGAATTATAAGTGAACCACTTGTCATAAAATATGATTTAAGTTTTATTACCTGGGAAATTCAATTATCTACAAACTTTTTAACAGTTATTTTGGTCAATGTTTACTTATTTTCCCAAGGCCCATACTTTGGTAAAAATGGCCCATCATTTTCAGACCAAGTGGGCCCAGGGCCCAGTACTTTCAAATTCTTGGCAGATCTCTGATTATATATACAAAACAATCCAATTTTAAAAAAATAATTTGAAAATAAAAATCCAATAGATCTTAATCAATTATCATTATACTTAAACTGTCTTGATTTGAGATTCATCATTCACAATTGTCTATATTTTAGACTATGCCCATATCTTAGCAACACTTTAAAATGGCTGAAACATTAAAATTGTTGGGGCCGAAATTGTTGGGACAAAAAGAAGGCTAAAATTTCAAAGCCAATTCCCATTTGGGAACATTTTGGGTTTGTTGATGAAAAGGGGGTTGTTAACTCAAAATTAATCCCAAGTTAGATTCAATGTATGACTGCCATTTAGCGGCAATACATTTAACTTGAGATCACATCTTGATCGTAAACAATGATTGGGGCAAGGTTAAACACCAGTCAAGTGCCAGCACCGATTGTAAAAACAATATAATCAGTAGGCTATTACTTAACAATAAAATAATTTGTAAAATTCCTGACATTTACAAAATAAATAAATAAATATGTATATAAATAAAATAAGCATAACAATAGTTTGACAAACCCTTATTCTATATGAACAGTAAAATTACAAAAATGTCATAATAAGTCAATAAAATTGTATTTCAATATGATAAATTCCTAATAAATTATAGTTATTTCCAGAAATGTATATTTTCAAAATCAAATTCCTTTGCATCCTTGATGACTACAGTCACTATTATTTAACACCTACATACAAAACTCATGCACAAATTTGAATTTTTTTATGTAACATTTATGTTTTTCTACTCTAGTCATGTTAACTAGTCATTCTAGTTAATATACATTTAAGTTTGAATTCTGTATATAGTCAAGTGAGATAGTGATTCCATATTGTAACTTTAGTCATTGAAGTGTTCTGCTTAGTGTGATGGTGTATAGATATGGATAGAGGCCAGTAAATGAATAACCACAGTTTATACACAGTTTTATATTTATTTGATAATTTACATATTTCATAGCACTACAAATATATGCAAAATATGATCAGAGGACATTTATGAACAAAACACATCATAAGTTCATGTAAAGAAGGTGTTTTTTTTTTACTAAAATAATTCATACAAATATGAATGTGAAATACAGGTAAATATATCGATATATTGGTGTATCGTCGATGTTTGCAATCCGATATCGATATATCGACGATATGCCTTTGACTGAATCAATGACAGCTCTACTTAGAAGATAAGCATAAAAAGTTTCTCCTGCAGATGTGAGCTCTATGACTTAACCAGCAAGTTTGTATACATACTGGCACATATGTGTGCATTCATTGGGAAAGTATAAATAAACAGAAAAGAGCACAAACAGCAACCTTAAGAAGTTTACCTGTAGGATGACTCTGGGCTCTGATTAGCCCTTTTTAAGCCCTTCATCTTTTGCCACTACTTCATAGTTCTTTCTGGTCCCATCACTTTTAACAGTGACTTAGTATTACTTAATTTTATTTACATGCTGGGCATGTAAAAGATTCTCAAGTAAATTCTTTGATTTTTTTAATCAGTGTAGTTTTGTTTTTGTTTTTTCTTTAAATCACTTAAAATGGGCAATCACAGAAACTAATAGATCTAGTAATAACTTGCAAAACGAGTAAAAAAAAAATATCGCGAAAACACATTACAAATCAAAGATTCTTACTCTTAAGACATCATAAAGAAATTTAAAAACACGTAATTAAAATAATATATAAATATTTTGTAAAGTAACTCACCTTTGAGCCAAAGGATAACGTTTTAGAACAACTAACTACAAAATAAATATTTGTGCATGCTTCATAGTAAATCTACGTCAACCGACGCTTTACTTTAGTTTAGGTCTTAGAATCCTATTGATTTTCGTTCATTGATATGTCCCATCACTAATTCCATGTCATCACTTACTTCACGGTAATGGCATAGTTCCATGTGACTAGTGTTAAAATTTGTCAGGATTGACACATTTTATCTATACACCTAAACAACAAAGTTTTTTAGCAAAATATTTAAAATCTCTAGGTTTTTACGTGAAACAGAACAACAGTACTCGTTTCTGCAAAATGTAACTAAAGTCCATAAATATTTTGCACATTTTGGAAACAATCATCATTTTCTAAATATTCTTGTTCGCTGAAAAATAAATTTTGAGTTACAAATTATAGATAGTTTTGATATTTAAAACTGAGCAGTATACCATGCAGAAATTTTAACTGAAACATGAAAAAAACTAAAGTGTACAACACCATTTACCGCGATTTAAATAGTGCCACACTGTTTTGCAAAATGCGACACATTGTCTACATCTGGCCCATTAAAACTAATTTTGATTGAATATATTGCTGTTTTCTTGTGTCATATAGCAGAAAAAGTACCGCGAACTAAGAGGAGCACAGTATCACGGATCGTCCCGTGGTCTACCCAATTTTGTAGAAGTGGCCTACCCAATTTTGTCGTACAATGCATTCAAACAAAAATGTTACCCCCTTTTCAATGAAATTCACTGCTGGTCACAGGACTGGTACACACGTCGTATACTTTGTAAATGAACCCAATCTTAATTAAAGGCTAAACGAATATCCGAGAAAAAAAATGTTTCTATACTCTAATGACATATTACTTTTTTCAAATTTAATTTATTATTTACTTATATCATTAGTACATTTTAATTATATTTAGACATTTGTGTGTATAAACTGGGACTTAAGATTTGCTTCCAGAAAAGGAAGATACAAGCATATATGACGTTATACGTACATATCTTGTGTGTTTATAATCCATATTTCAACATTTGTTGTCATTATGTCATTGTTATAATTATCTATAGAGTTAATTACGATTTAGCTCAACATTACACTTTGCATACTATATACACAATTTCCTGTATGTAACCTTCTTAATACTTTGTACTTGCTCACTCAATGTAGAGAGCACCGTGAACATATTTTTGCGATTTGTTTCCGACAGCCTTCTTAAAATGTACAGAGATGAAATAATTTAACCTTCTAAAGACACTAAATAAGCAATGCACGCATTAAATGAAGATGTCGAAAAGCTCAATCTTTTTGATTGTTGCGTAGATAGAATACCATAGTTTCACCAGTCTTTTATATAGATTCTAAATTTTATTTGAAAGACCTGAATTCAGTCAATTTGCGACATCTACAATGTGACATCATGAAAAATAAGTATGCTATATTAATTAGTTCAATTAAGGGACATACGTCACTATATAATTTTATCTTAATTTTAGCTTAAAAAGATAATTTAAAATAAGTTTCGTACACATGACGATTTTTCATTTGTTTTGGTTGATGAATAAAATTGTACATAATTTCCATAGGTCTCTATGTTAAATTATTGACCTGGCATACATTTGATAAGTTATCAATGTAAACTTTTTTTCTCAAATATATATAAGAGTCATTTCAGAAGATATCAAAGCCTACAGGTCTTCATAAGTAAGTGTTCGTTAAGTACTCTAATATATATATTAGTTATGAGATATCAATATCATTTCAATGACCTATATTAACTCAAATCAATCGTAATTTTCAGATGTTTGAAGTTCAATTAGCTTAAGTTAGCCCATTCCTAAATAATGATTGATTAACTGTTACTTTACAACCGGTGTTTTACCAAGAGTGTATAAGCATTTAGAAAAACCTAAAAGTTTCTCAAGAGTATAGATATCAAGTAATAAAAAAATCCACGTCAACAACCTCTTCACTTTTGGTCAGGTTTTCCCAAAGACTTACGTAGTAAGAACTGGCCCGAAGTATTCAGGTCTAAAAGTTCAAGGTTCAGCCGATGAGTGAAGATCTGGACTGAAAACAGAATTGGTTGACAACATACAAACATTGTACAAATCGCCTTCGGTCCATCGTTACCAAATTCGTGGTCGTGCGGTTAAGGTTGTTGACTTCAAACAACTTGCCTCTCACCGCTGTAGGTTCGAGCCGCGCTAGAGTCTAATTCTTTATGTGAGACCGTTATCCAGCCAGCTTACGGAACGTGGATTGTTCTGAACAGGAGCCCGTTTAAATTGTGCCTGAAATATTGTACGCGCTGTACAGATAAGCACCTGTTCGATGTCTTCATCGATCAGTTAAGCTGGAAAGTCGCCATATGACCTATATATAGATATGCTGTTAAACCAAGTCACAAAAAACAACACGATATATACGAGTATATATATCTTGGTAAAAATAAGATGGTGTATAACGCTGATAGATTACTAACCTATCTTTATGACATTCAAGGTCAAATTAAGTTTTCGAAAATTACTTCTTTGGTTTAATTATTTGACGTGTATCTTCAGATAGGTTCATTTGGCAAAGGCAATTTTATATCCAAAACACAAGCACAGTTTTCTAAAACCAATATTTAAACAATGTCTGTAACATTTTACTTCCCCAATTTTTTACAAGATTGCAGCGGAAATTGCTCAGATTGCTCTAAAACTTGCGTTGAAAACCGGGAGAGCGTAGCGAATAATATTAATAAAAAACCGAGCTAAAAACAGATGTTTGGTTGGAAAAACAGAAGTTCATGTCTAGTGAAAAAGTTCATGTTCGTCTAATGTAACCATGACCATTGTTAGAATTTCACTTGGCGGAGTTAATTTCATTTACACTTTCATGTCATTCAGGAACATATTGGGGCTAAGAGTGAGGTTTGGCGCGCCTAAAACCGGTTTAAACTCCCCAGTGGTTTAACTACCAATGACCATTCTAAGGCGGTACCCCTCTATGTTCCTTCACGTATTTTTCATGTCTGTGTTGTTACTTGTTTTTGAATGTTTACGTGTTTTGTGATGTCTGCCTTGTTGGTTTGTCGTTTACGGTAGGTGTTTTCTCACACCCCCTCCCATTTTTTAACCCCCTCCCCTTTTTACCCGTACAGCCCTTATCCCTATAATTCCCACATGGGCCCGTTTTAATTTATATTATTTCACACCTTACATGTCCCTCTCCTTTCACCGCCCTTATGTCCACTCCAGGTTTTGGTTTGGTGCCTTCTGGGTGCCCTACTTTGGTGTGTCGGGGGCTGCGTCCTATGAACGTTGCCTTTGCCTTGTTGATCTTAATTCTTGTCTTTCATGTAGCTAGGTAAGATACACTCTTTAGGGTTTCAAATCGCCACCCGAGTCTGTAAATACTATGCACACCTATTCCTCTTACTGTATCAATTACATATAGATGTTGTATTGAAGTCGACAAATTTGGGTCCCCACCAATCTAATCCTAGGGTACAAACAAACTTTTACCGTTGTCATAACAGAGAAATCAATGAGTTGTGCTTATGCTCAATTGTATATTTCCCAGGTTGTAATGTAAAAATGTGTTTTTAACCTCTTGATTAGAGGATTTAGATACGTGTGGTGGGAAGCAATCCCACATTTTCCGAGGGAGGGAGGCAATCCCACATTTTCCGAGTGTGGGAGGCAATCCCACATTTTCCGAGGGTCAAAGTACATGAATTGATAGATGACCATAATAACATAATGTGGCATCAACTACAAAAAGATTTATTTCTAATTTATAGCATGTAGAACAACAACAGACTTAACAAATCTGTAAGTGACAGAGCAGTAAAAAGAATCAACATTTTATTGCTTGACGGGTACTATATAGTATATTGTATACTGCACAGTTTCAAAATGTTAAGATGGCGTACAAAGCAATGATCACTTTTCGCAGTCTAAACAAGCTATACATTATACTCAGAGCATGTGCATTTGTTTCTATATGCATGTACGAAGTAACCAAGAAAGAAAATGAGCCCCATGGAGAACAGAACTACACCAGATACTAAACAAAGATAGTAAGAATATCCACGCTGGTCAAATGGCAGGTTGTTTATTTCCATGCAGCTGACGAAATTCATTATTCCTGAAAAACAGAAAAAAAATCTATATTATATTACAATAATAAAACCAATAAATATAGAAAGCGGTAGGGGACAAGATACAATGTGGTTTATGCCAAACAATGTCTTTACATGCCTATGGCATCAGTGTTAAGCCCGTCTCACACAAAACACGGTTGGACACACGATTCCCATACGGTATACTCGGTTATACACGGGTTGACTGGTACGAGTTTTGAGCTCCAGCCGTGCTTGTGGATTAGTTGGCACGAATTAGACTCGAATATAGCACGAGTATGTACGAATTGAGCACGGAATTACTCGGTCAAGCAAGGTTTCAACACGATTTGCATACGAATACATACATCTGTTGTACGGTTCCAAGTACGGTCTAGTACGGTCTAGTACGGTTAAACACGACTTTTACTCGATTTACTCGACGGTTTACATAGGGTCCCGCCGACTTTTGTTCGAGTTAGGCTCGAAATATCACACATTTGTGTATGTTTTGATATAAATTAACCCATTTTGATGACTTGGCTTCATGAATTTTCGAAATTTCAGCGACGAACACCTTTATATAGATCATTAACATCAATAATAAAATGAATAAAAAGGTGAAGAAATGTAAAATGAATGTGTCTTTTTTCTGTGGTGCAGCGGTTGCTGGAGGGCATTTGAGTTTGAATCCCTGGGAGACATGGTTATTGTCGGTTGGTCCTCCAGCTTATCAGAGTCAATAAGTTGGAGTGGTCGGTGGGCCTGGATGGCTTTTCTTGTATTCCTTCTATGCGTCCAAACCTTCCTCTTTGGATACATTCTAGTGTGATGCAGCAAGTAATCTTGGTATGGTAGCAGCAGTTAGTTGTGTTTTTGTAACGTTCTTGCTGAGGCCGTGTTAGAACGTACGAGGCCGTGTGAGACCCTGTATACCCGTACTTTACCGTGTCGGCCATGTATGTTTCG